GGCCAGTGAAGAAAACGATACTTGCGAATGATGCTCAGCTTCGGCTGATACCTTGCTGTATTTGAATAGAACCACCGCGCCCCTCAGACTGCATCACATGCAGGTTTGTTCATCATCGAAGCAAGTTATCTCCTTGTTACGACGTGGTGAAGTTCCTTGGATATTCAGCTGAGAAAGGAAGGAGAGAGGGAGGTGGAAGGACCTTTGCTTTATAGTAACTCCAATGCTTAATGGTGACTTAAGGAGTCGGGTGTTCCGCGGAATCCTATTCCGATGCAAGTTCATGATACATAATGACATCGAAACCAGAGCGTTTTCGGTTTACGATCACAAGTCCGACCATAGATAGACGGCAGCATCATGTAGGTGGCAAGTTGAGAAGGAGAAGAAGCTCTACCAAGGGTGAGGGACAGTAAATATAGTAGATAGCATCATTGTTGCGACTATGTTACATAACTTGGGACTGTACATATGAGCAGTAGTATACCAGATCAGACTAGTCCCAGAAGGGATAGATCAAGGATGACACGTGGCACGTGACAGATGACACGTGCCAGACTCCGGCGCAGCGCGTCGGAAGCGCGTCGCGGGATGCGACCCAAAGAAGAACCCCAGCCTCCAATTCACTTCTTCTCCCTTCGCCGCCGTCTTCATCATTCTTCCTGTTCTTCATCTCATGTTCACACTCTCCTTATACTTCTCAATCCCCCCCCCCCTCCCCGCTACAACAACTGGACAACTATCCCGTAGTAGGTCTCACTTTTTCTTACTCCCTCTTACCCTCCAATCGGAACCCCCTCCATCAAATTATATCTAAGCAATTACATCAACAAAACTCAGCCCGCCCAAACTACCCCACACCCCACCATCCCTAGGGGCCCTCTCCCCTCTCTATCACAAACCACCTTCGCACCCACCAAACACACAAAAAGTTCAAGCCCAACATGCCACCCTCGGCCTCGATCCACCGCACTCTTAGTGCAGCCACAACAACCGACCCCAACTCCAAACGCCGCCGCTTCCAACCCCCGATCACCACCTTCTTCACCACAGCCACCGACCCAACCGCCCACCCCTCGCAAACCGCCCACCACACCCACAACCACTACTCCACCTCCACCTGCTCCCCGACCCCGACCCTCGCCCCGAAGGTCCAGGCCTCCCTCCTCTCCGTCGGCATGCGTGTCCGCAAGTCTATCGCCGAGGGCTACAAGACCCACCACCAGTCGAGCAAAGCCCTATTCTCCGGGGCCCCGCCATCTTACCACCATGACCAAAACCAGTCCAGTTCTCTGATCACCACCGACGAAGGCGACGCATTCTCCCTCCCCGCCAGCTCGCAGGAGTCCACTGACTCCGCCTCCTCCCTCCCGTTCACGGGTACGAAGCGCGGCTTGGGGGACCTCGATCACTACCGCGCCGACAGTAATGAGAGTGACAGTGAGACGGATGATTTCCCCAGCGCTGAGATGTGGGGTCAGCGGATCTCTCGAGCCGAGCCTGCTGCTGCGGTTATTGGGAGGACGATTCTCGCGCCGCGGAGTAAGAACAACAACATCCGGAGGCGGTTTGTGGTCACCGGACGGGATGGTGCTTGCACCGTTGCTACTACGATGGACGTGGAACTTGGGACGGACTTCGAGGAACCGGCTTTTTTGAGGAGTCGGGAGGAGGTGGAGGGGTATGAGCTTGATGGGTCTCCGAGGGCGTGCAGGGAGGTGGAGATGGGGGATGTTTGATTTTTCGCCATTTGGCCTCCAATACCTGCCTTGGGACGTTTCGGGGTGGGAAGAAGGGTTGAATCATGATGCTGTGCTTTGTTTGGGTTTGTCTCTGTGTGTTTTTTTAGCCAGCGTTGCCATTGTCTGTACTTTACCCCTCTTTTTACCCAGTTCTCCTGTCGAGGGGCGTTTACTGGCTGGTTCCGGTGATCCAGTGATACTCAGGGTTATGATGATATGCTGGAAAGGATTCAGCAGAGGGTTTGCTATGATTGGTCTAGGCTATGCTTCTATGATCTGGGATGGACTTTTGGGTGACGGATTTCTTGTGCTGTACATATTCTCACCCCCCTTCACCTTATCATCTTTACGAGTATCAATGCGAGGGAGAGCCGATCGCATGTATAGATAGTGTACTCCGTACATGGACTTGCAATTCCCAACAAGCAACAAGAAATGAACTGAATTGAAATGAAATACAAGACAAACAACGCTCCAACCAACCCCCAGGACTCCCTCATCCCCACCAACCAAAAGCCATTATACACACATTAGTACATGTAGTGCACCATGATCAACCTCGCTTCTTGATCTTCGTGATAACCAAACAGGTGAGCCCCGGAAACAGATCTACCGCGCCATCGAAACACACATACGAGCCCGGCACCAACCTGACCACCTGTCCGGGGTCCTTGGCGAGCTTCATCTCCGCATCCCGCGGCACCAGCCGGGGCTCGGTGCCCGCGACCACCCCGATGGGAACGATGTATAGCGGGCCCGTGGAATTCCTGATCGTGTTCCGCGCCAGGATCTTCCACGCCATGTAGCTGAGTTGCATTTTCTCCTTCCGCACCATCAAGAGAAGAGAGTCTGGATTTTAGTAAATTGGGAGCCCTGCCGTTTTGGGGGGGATGTTTTTGCGCCGCAAGGGGCTTTTTTTTATGATGCAACCCTTGCGGACAAGCAATAGAATAACAATGGGGACAAAAAGAAGCAGAAAAAAAAAAAAAGAGGAGGAAGCTTACCTCTAGCTCTAAGTGCTTTAATAAAGGCGCCGCGTGTTGGTCCATGAAGTGGTTCGCGAACATAATGTTCTTATTCTTTTCGACTTTGGCCACCGGGGCGGTCTCGATTACCCCCTGTAAATGATGCAGGGCGGTCTCGGCTTCCGGGTTTATTTGGTGGGTGTGAATGGCTGTATGTTGCAATGCCATCGTGTTCTGAAGGGAGTGTATTAATGGGGAGACACTGGGGTGTCATGGATTGGTTTAATAGAAGCTGAAGAAGTGGTGGTGCTTTTGTTAGATGAGTATATATAGAGAAGCTCCTCTCGTCTGTAGTCCCGAGGTTAATTCGGCTGCTGTTGCGCCTATAACAGCTTCAGGGTCACAGATTCACGTATTTGATGATACTCTGAGCCCCGAATCTCTTCTTCTTGTTCTCTCACTCTTGACTATGCGGGGGAATTCTGAGTAGGAAATGAGGTGGGGTTCCAGGTTGCGGGGGTCCCCAAGGTTGCCCGAATACGGTCAGGGCGGATAATGGCGGAAGATAGATGATCCAGCCTGGAGTGAGTGAGTGCACTGCAGAAGGGCAGACACCAGCGGTGAGACCAGCAGTGAAAGATACAGTAACTATAAGAGTGGGAATAAGGTAACCTGCGTAGAGTACGAAAAACCTCTTATTGAGCCACTATGAAAGCACACTCTATGACTTAAGCATGCAATTATCAGCATAGCATGATACAGGGGTAAAAAGCTGGAAGAATCTAGGGAAAGAAAAGTTACAAAAAGTCAACGCTCAACCTTAACTCCCTACCATTTTCTCCATCCATACTTCCCGAACAATGTAGCACCACACCGGACAGAGGATTACAACTCGTCCTTGACATTGCTCTTCTTGGACTCAGCAGATGTTGTCGTCGCCGTCGTCGCCGTCGTGGACTCTTGTTCCTTCCTGGTACTGCTCTTGCCCTTTTTGCCGTTGCTGCTCTTCTTGGGCTGCTCACTCTTGCCCGACTTGGCTGCTGCCGCTCCCATCTTCTCGTAGATGCGGTTCATGGCGCGCTCCAATTCACGAAGACGGGTATCAAGCTCGGCAACGGTGAAGGCCGGATCATCCGTGACAGTAAGCTTCTCCTGGATGGTCATTTGAGTCTCGAACCAAGTGTTCGTAGACTCATAGGTCTTGGACAAGCTGGCCAGATCATAGGGCTGGAAGATAGAGTACTTCGGTCCACTGGGCTTAGCGGTGGTGGTGGGAGCGGAAGAGGTGCTGCTGCTGGAGGAGGTATCGTAGGGGTCCTCATCGAGATCCACAGGCTGGGCGGGAGCCTCGCTTGCCGATGGCGACGAGCTCGATTCTGTGGGTTCACTAGCGACAACGCTCGACGAGTGAAGGTCTTCATCTTGTTGAATCTGCTTCTCCATTAGGTCCATCACGGTCTTGGCGTTCTTCAGAACATCCTGGAAAAGCTCAATACGAGCTGGGCGGTCGGCGCTCTCCTTCTTGCGCTTGAGAGCAGGGTTGACGATGTCTTTCAGAGACTTAAGTCTCTCCTTGAAATCTGAGGTTTTGGCGTCAGCGCCCTCGCCGTCCAGCCAGTCGCTGGCGGCAGCGGCCTTCTCTTTCAAAGTAATCAATTGCTCAGGAGTCAACATCTTGACGAAGTCCTCATCCTCTACGAGATCACGGCTGCGGTAAATAAAGGACTCCAGCTCGTTCAAGGCCTCTTCGCGGAGGAAGCGCTCGCGATCCGAAGCGTCGAATGCGGCCAAACGGGCCTTGATACGAGCAAGCTCAGCCGTAGACGGTGCAGGAAGCCCCAGAGGAGTGGTGGTGAAGCTGACAGGGATAGTCTCGAGCTTGATCTGAGGAGAGCTCTTCTTCGTTTCCTTGGCAGTCGTGGTGGAAGTGGATGCGTCCGAAGAGGTGGTCGAAGCTTGTTCCTCTGGTTCCAGTGTAATGGACTCGCTGGCTTCACCCTCTTCACCCAGAGGAGCCTGTTCATCCTTCTTGCCTAAACCGAAAAATCCCTTGACATCCTCAACGACACTTCCCTTCTTGGCTCCTTCAACTTCGCAGCTGACGGATCCACCCACAACTTCGGGAAGCCCGTCAACAGGGCTGAGGCGGATGGCGAACTTGGTGGTGATGTTGGCAGCCGAGCAGCCAAAGTCTTCCTTCAACTTGGAAACAGAAGCAGTGAGGTTCTGCGTCTTCACGCCTAGAACAGGAGTCTCAGCAACGCTCTCGGCGAGGGGAACTTGCTGGTAAAAGCTGAAATCAAAATCATCCAGGTTCTTTACGGTGACCTGCTTCTCGGGTCCAATTTGAGAGGTGGGTGTGAAAAGCTTCTGTTGTCTCTCCTTGGATTCGGAAGTCCACTTCAAAACAACACTGTAAGCCGCGGCATCGTTAGCACGGATATCCTTGACACGGAAGCTTGGACTGAGAGCTGCCCCCTTGAATGCAGCTCCAAACACAGCGGCTTCATCAGCATTGACGCTGGTGCGAATCTTGCTAGCTGATCCACAGACACTCTCGAGCTCCTTCTGCACAAATGGCGTGCGAATTGAACCCCCGTGAAGAATGACAGATTCGATGTCAGTCATCTGCAAACCGGCAAGCTCCAAAGCCTGCTCGAGAGGCTTTCCAACGCGGGCAATGTGATGCGCGGCAAGCTCCTCAAATCTAGACCGGGTGAGGCGATACTTGAAGTTAACCTCTTCCTCGTACAGGCTCTCAAACGAAGCCCCAGTCTCAGTGTTGGCACTAAGAACCTGACGAACCTTCTCAGCATCCTTCCAGAGTCTCGCCATAGTCTTGCCATGAGCCTTGATATCAGCCGGTGTGACGCGGCCTTTCAGCTTCTTCTCCTCAACCAGATCGGCGACCATATCCTCGACAATCAGGTCGTTGAGAGAGTCTCCGCCAAGTGTCTTGTCCCAGCTGGTACCCAGGACGTGAACTTCCTGGACGGTCTTGTTGAAACGACCGATGTCCTTGACCGCGCGGCTCTGGAAGCGAACGACACTGGCCGTGGTAGAGCCAGCGCCCATGTCATAGATAATGTGATACTCGGGCTTCTCTCCGTCCGACACGCTGGGGAAAGTGCGGCTGGTTGCGTAGTTCAAAGCGACAGCAAGGCCGTCACTAATGAACGCTTCGACATTCAAACCTGCCAACTCCGCCGCCAAGCGGAGACTTCTCTTCTCCGCCGCGGTATAGAAGGAGGGGTAGGTGATCACCGCATCCTGAATGTTGGATCCTTTTCCAGCCAGGGTATCGGCATTGGCCTTGATTTGCTTCAACTGCATGGCAAGAACCTCCTCGACGAGAAAAGCGTCCTTCTTCTCTGCCTCGCCAAGTCGGTTGCTCCGAAGTCCAACAGTGTCACGATCGCCAGGGGCCTTTTCAAGTCGCAACGCAGGGTACCGGTTGTGATATGTCTTGATTGTTTCGTCATCGATATCGAAGGGGAGTCCGAGCAGGGTCTTGAGATTGGCGTATACATCGTCGGGATACCGAGCGGCTAAGGCCAGGGCATCGCCGCCGTAGAATCTCTCGGGAAACAGGGCATCGCTTTCGCGGGTAGGTTTGAACGCAACGGCGGCTGATTCCTTGCGCTTCGAATCCTTGGTGAGAACAATTTCTAGAGGAATTCCTGGTTTGACCAGGGCGGCTTTGAAATATTCTGTGCCGACATCAAGACCGAGAACGGCGGATCCCGCAGCAGCAGCGGGGGCAGGGAAGCTCAAAAAGAGCAGTAGAAAAGGAACGATCAAGAAGGATAGGACGGGAGAGGATGTAAGAGACTTCCGGGAGCCATATGTGCGTTGACGGCTTCTGGAAGCCATGGTCTATGCGTTTACTAAGAAAGCAGGTCAGCACCCGTCCCAATCAGCAGATTGCGCCTAAGGGTCGCATACCTCCGAGAGACGCTTTAATACAACGCTTGACATCTATTGAGCTCTAGCTCTGTACCCAGATGCAATCTGGTTGATATGGTCGTCGCAGGCGAGTGACAGTCTAACTATCGGTGCAGTAACATGAAATTAGCAAGTTAGTGGTAGTGAACTATGACGGCAGATGAGGTTAGCGAAAGGCGAAAGCAACCTATGAAAAGAGAGGGGAGAAGAGAGGTACCTAAGACACTTTTTATCTCCGCAGAGCCATCTAGACGACAACGAAGCTCTAGTATACTGGCCACCTGGCAGTAAGAATATGGTGAACAAGGACAGAGTAGTAAAAGGAAGATGCCAGTCGAATGTTCGATGAATTGATTGGAGAGGCCACGTTTGGCCGACCGAATGATGCAAACACATCACACCGCCCGCTTTGTTTGCACTGCGGATCCACACCAATTCCAGGGTCTATCTACGGGTCCACTGTACTACTACTAGGTACTCTGTACAAACTAGTAGATCGGATGCCATGCACCATGCAGTACGGAGTTTTATGAACACATGGAGATATGTTTTTCAGGTCTCGTACCTTCTGCTCCATACGTCTAATCGTCATCAAAGTCGGAGTCGCTCATCCAACCAGTCTCATACGACTCTCTAATCTCGCCCAACCCGTTGACTAGTGCCTCCCTCTCATCCACTTGTGCGACTCGCCCGGCGAGCGTCTCTAGCATCTTAAGCTTCTCGGCCGTCCGGGAGGAAGCTGTCAACGCTGCAAGCACTTGGACCTTTCCCTTTGCCTGGGGAAGAGTGAACATGTTGTGAGGGAAGCTATCCAGGATGGGGAACGCCAGCGGCGCATGAAATCTATCGATGTGATCAGTATTTGGAGCCCTGAACAGGTTATGAGCTCCTTGTCCTCACCTCTGGAACATGGG